GCCACAAACGAAGGGGAGAAATCTTATTTACTCCCAGCCCTGGGAAAGTGTGGAAAGGATGAAAGAGATGGGCAGAGGAGAGGAGGTGCGTGGAATGCCTAGTTGCAAGGTCTAGACAGGTGTGAAGGAAACTAAGGACATAGGGCCTGGTAGTCTGTCAGTACAGCCCTTAGATCCAGGCAAGAGCACCCCATTCCAATGCTCCCCATAAGACTGGTGGGTCCCCTTTCTAGAGCATGCCCCCAGCTACCAGAGATCATGGAATTCCCATGTGAGCCCACTTCCAGGGCCTCCATGGGGTTCTCTCTTGGGTCCCTTTTGGACTGTGCTGCCAGGGTGTGTGTTCACACTTGGGTCCAAGGTGTGATGATGGAGCAGCTGCCTGGGGGAGGTGGAGATGACATAGAGCTTGTCAAGGTGTGGGAGGGGGCCTAGGGTGGGGAAAGAGGGCTGGCCATGGGCTGGGAACCCTGAGGAGGCCAAGATTTCTAGATCTGAGCCTGAGTTTCCTTTGAGGTGCTTGATAGGGTGATGTTGGTAGGGTAGGAGGCTGGACATGTATGTGGGCAAAGATCACCTGACTCAGACTGTGTGGGGTAAAGAGAAGCTTGTGCTCAGATGGAGGAGGTGCAGGGGGGTGGAGAGAGATCAAGTGGGTGTGAAAGAGCCACCCCCTACACTCCCTCCAAGAAGAAGTGGATGTGGAATCTGTGGATCTCTCTAATGACTACAGGGAGCCAGGGCTGGCAGGCTAGCAAATCAGGGAGAAATCTTTCCCCTCTGCCTGCTCTGCTCCAGCCCAGCAGCACCAACTGCCAAATCATGGCCTGGGGTGGAAAATGAAGTTAATTGTGCATTTATGCTATTCACAATTATTTGGTATGACTTGCTTTCCCCCCACCAAATCTGTTATTATATTTGTCAGTCTAGGAGGATAGAACATAATTTTCTGGTGTGATTTGTAACTCTTAAATATTTAGACATGTGGTACATGAGGTGGCCTTCTAACCTGTTTCTCCAGGCTTCCTAGAAGAGGCTGCAGTCCTAGGAGAAATACTTTTAGCTTACCTCTACACCCAGGGTGGCTCAGTACCATTAAGTGGAAGGGGAGGTTACTAGATAAATGAAATGACAGTGTTTCAGGAATAAAGACCTAGGAGCTTCTGCATAGGCCAAAGAGATGGGGTGGGGTGGGGTGTGTGTGTGTGTGTGTGTGTGTGAAGGGGACAGGAGGGTGCAGATACAGTGTCACTAAAATCAGGGAGATGGGCGGTGGCCTGGGATTAGAGCAAAACGGCCATAGCGCTGGGACTGTGCAATTAGCGGCAAGTGGCAGCAACCCACCTGCAAAGGCCACACTAGACCGGCGGCAGACACCTTAGTAGACACCAGATCAGAGCAGCAACCTGCAACAGAGGCCCCCACGAACTGCCAGGAGGCACATATACTCAGCCAACAAGGAGCAAGAGAGAAAAAAAAAAACACTGATATCAGAAGAGACTGAGATTGTTAGCTGACAAATTTAAATGGCCCCGCTCCTTAGCCTCCGCTACCTCTTGATAGATGAAGATACGGGCAAATGAAGATTGGGTCCATTTGAGAAAATAAATGTCATATTTTCTTTGCATAGCTGAGCATTCATTACATTTCAACCCTATTACCACAGACTAAGATCACATTAGCTTTTTTGGGGTGGGAGCAAAGAGCACATTGTTGAATCGCACTCAGCTTACTGTTAACTCAAACTTTTTAAAATTTACATTTGCAAATAATTATGGGGCTCTTACTTGCTTCTCCTGCGCAAGCTGCTTTTTCTAAATCAGCGATTGGTTCTCAAATTTCAGTGTGCATCAGAGCCATGTGAGGGCTTTCAAGAGTTTTAAGATTTTCTCATACAGGTTTTGGACCTCAAGTTTACATATACGTTTCTTTTTTTCTTTTCTTTTTTTGCAATCATAAAAGGGATCTTCTCTTCAAGAACATCTTCTAACTAGTTTAGGTTTATATACATATATAGTCTTTTATTCTTTTTAGTAAACATTTTTATTGAACTGTAATTATACGTACAGAAAAGTGCACAAATCATAAGTGTACAGCTTGATAAATATTCATAAAGTGAATGCACCTATGTAACCAGCACCTAAATTATGAAACAGAACATCGCCAGCACCAAAGACTCTGCCTTGTACTCTTCCAGTCCCTGTGGAGCAAAAGAAACCAGTTGAAAACTAACGCGTTGATTATGATTCCACTTAAAGAAAGTTCAAAACCAGACATAACTGATGGTGATTTAAGCCTTGATAGTGCTTACCTTTGAGGAGGGAGGTAGTGATTGAATGAGGGCACTGATTTCTGACACCATAGACAATTTTGCCCATTTTGAACTTCATCTAAATGGAATCAGAGTATGCACTCTTTTGTGTCTGGTGAAGGCTACTGATAGTTGTATGTTAGTTGTATGCAATTGCTACTTTACTAAGTTCTCTTATAGCTTTTCAACAAATTCCTTTGTGCTTTCCAGATATAAAATCATATTTTAAAAGTTTTCCTCTTCCTTTTCAATTCACCTCTTTGTTTTCTTTTGTCTTATCTCATTGACTAAATCCCCCAACACAAAGTTAAATAGTAGAGGAGATAGTGGGCCTTGTTCCTGACTTTAGTATCGACATTAAGATGCTGGCTTTTGGGCACAGGTACACTGTCAATGAATTACTCATCAATTTCTACTTATTAAGTGTATTTAACATAAATGTTAATTTTGTCAAGTGTCTTTTCTGCAAAGATGGAGATAATCATATGATTTTTCTCCTTAACTCTTTTAATATGATGAATATTAATGGATTGTCTAATAATATTCTTACATTCCTATAATAAATCCAACTTACTCATGACAATATTTTTTGAAAGTGCTGAATTGTTTGTTAATGTACTGTTAACATTTATGTACTGATATATTCATAAGTGAGAGCGGTCTATAATTTTCTTTGGTACAAACTTTGTCAGGTTTTAGAAACAATGCTTATCATGTTCACTTTACAAAATGAATTTAGAAGCCTTTTTTGTGTTTTTTTGCCCTCAAGAGTCTCTTTATAGCCCCTGGAAATGTTTAAACAACATTAGGATTATTTAATCATGACAGTTTGGTAGAAATACCCTTGAAACAATCTGGGCCTGATTTTTTTTTTTGTAAAGAGTCCATTTGTTTTGAATTTCTGTATCTACTTTGGTAATCTCGGCAATTGGCATTTTTCTAAGAAAGGTTATCATTTTCTAATTTATTATATAAAATTACTCAAAGTAGTGTTATAATTTTGAAAAATTTACTGTTTTATGTTCTCTCTCTTGTCATTTAAACTTTTGTGTTTTTGCTTCCTCCTTTTTCTTGAAAAGATTGTCTGGTGGTTTGTCTATCTTGTCTTCCCTCCTTCCCCCTTTTAATTAATCCCTTCCTTCTACTTCCTTTTGGTTTGCTTTTTCCTCCAGCTTTTAAGACTCGATTGTGTAATTCTTAGCTTTTCTCATTTTTATTGATATTGCTCTAAAATTATAAATTTCCTGTCATAATGGCTTTTTTTTAATCAATAAATACTAGGTTTTCATCAGTCTTGTGGTCATGTCCTGCTGGTGTGCTTCCAATGTCTGTGGGGATATTGGGCTGCTTATTCTTTTATTCCTTAAAACAACTTTGAATGGGCTTTGACTGTAATCCTCAGGTTTTGTTTTTGTTTTTGGGTGAAATGAGTTTTCCTGTACTTTTAGGAGGAAGGGGTGCCCTAGGACGACTTTTCTTTGCTCTACGGCCCTAAAGTTCCTCTTTCATTTTCACAAAGTGATTTAAAAGATTATCTATGTCCACATATAATGTCTAGGTATATTGACTTTCCTTCCCAACATTTATCTGGACTCTCTCTTCTCTTTGTCCTATTGTACCTATCCCAATTTGGATTCTCATTCTAGCTAGGCTTTATCTCATTAGTCTTAAGATGTATACAGGACGGGCCCAGACTGCTCTTAGCACAATCATCAGACCATATCATATTGCTCTAACACTTACCTGCAAATGGGGACCTGTAGAACCCCTCCCAGTTTCAGCTTTTGTTCTCAGACTGGCCCACTGTACTTTCTAGTGAGAAACTGGGGGCAATGCTATAGTTCTATTCTCAAGGCTGTCAGAAACCAGCTGCCTGCCTTTCACTTCCTCCCACAGAGATGCTGAAACTATGTTGGTCAGTGGTTTGTCCTTATAAAACTGTATTCTAAAGTTCATGGGGACACCCTGTCATCTAGTTTTGTAGAATAGCTATCCTAGTTACTCTGGATTCGAATGGGGAGATTCAGAAACTACAGTGCTGCCATCATCTTCCTCGAGTTTAAACTCTGTGGGATCTCTATTACAGAAAAGAGAGGTTTTAAAAACAATTTTATGATGGTTATGACAAATTATAATTAGGAATTTACTTTATTTACTTAGTACTATGCTAAGTACTTTATATGTATTACCTCATTTGATCTTCAAACAATCTTGTGAGTTACATTTTTCCCCCCTCATTTTATCAAAGGGGAAGTTAGGGTCCAAGATTACACTGGTGAACTGGCAGATCTAGGATTTAAACCCAAGTCATCTGACTCCAGAGCACCTCCTTACTATACTGACTCTCAAATATTATCAGGCCCAACAGTTTCAAACTATGTAGCACTGTCGGCAAAACTTCTATTTGAATTTGAATATTTATAAATAATTATTTAAAGATCTAATTAAAATGTACACACAGTATAGGTCAAATCTAAAAGCACTGTAGATGATAAATAGGTTGAATTGTGTTATATGACCTGATGAACCTTGTTTTCATGCATATGCTCAAAACAAGGCCTCTCCTACCATAGTCTAAAAAATACCATACTGGAGTTGGCCGTAGAGCATAGGGAGCAGAGTTACTGAGACTTCATATTCCCCTCCTCATTCTATCACCACTGCTAAAGAACCAAGTATATATATGAAATAGTGCTTATAATTTATTTTATTAATACTTTTCTTGTAGGTAACTATTTCGAAAAAGTTGGGAATAGTTTCTCCACAATTCACAATGGGCTGGTATTTTTTTGGTCAATATGCTGCTGTGGAATGTGAACATTCACTGGCCCATAAAGTTTCACAAGGAGGTCTCTCACGAGTATATCAATTAGAATCATATTGTAATATATAATCTTATGCTATTAAATTACACAAGGAGTTAGAAAATATTTAGTAGTTTTTTGAAATACTTTGACCTTGGAATTCTCCTTCATACGAATACGGTTACTATTACTAACTTTTTAAGCTTCCAACCACTAATGGCAATTCAGGAAAAAAAAAAAAAATGGGGGCTTTTTGAATAGTTCTAAAGCCGTTACATATATGCCATTTTAACTCCTGATGTCTACGAAATGAGTTAGTTTGAGATGTAGATGTCTTAATTTGTCAGAATTTAAACTGGTACAAACTGGAATAACTCATGGAAGGATGACATCTGTTGTTAGGCTTATTTTATCCCCACCATCAGAAAACTGATTTTATTTCTAATTAAAAAAAAATTTTTTTTTGACTTTGGCAAATTGAGGTTTAAAACTAAGCATGCCAATAATAAATGCATCATTTCTCCAAGTATATACTACGTTTCCTTTGGGAAGGACCATTGTTTAAGGGTATTTTTTCTCCACTCTAGGAAAGAAATTAAAAATTTAAATATTACAATACCTAAACAGTGATATTAGTAACTTAGTTTTTATACTGATACTTGTAAAACTAACAATCCAACATTTATTATCATCAAGACTTTAAATGAAACCCAGTCCCTCTGGTGAAGAGACTTCCTTCTCCATTTCAGCACTACTCTCATAACTTTGAACGTCATAGAGCAACAGTGACAGATGTAATTTATTGATAACTAATAAAAATGAGTTTTTATACTAATTCCTTTACAATTAGCTAGGTCACAGAATGAAGAAAACAAAACAAAGAAAAGCAAAACCCCAGTCCTTAACCCCTAAATGGTACATTTCCTTCCCACTTACCTGAAAATACAAAAATATGAATGACCGTGTACGGAGCTACACCATTAACTTTACTTGAGCGGTGCTATTTTTTTACTTAAATGTTTACTTATTTCATTTGAAAAAATTAGAAAATCATCAGTTTGAAATTTGAGCAGCTAACACACTGGGGCAACAAACTAAAAATAAGAATCCAAATGGCTAAAAATAACTCAGTTATAAAAGTACAAGTATAATTTACAGTATCACATATCTCAGAAAAAGAAACAAAACCATTAAATGGCTTTCCTTCTAGATAAGACTGTTTTCTCTGCAGAAAGGGAAAAAAAGGAACTAATGATTTGAGATTAACATCAAACATAACTGTTATTTACCCCAGCAACATCTAAAATAAATGACCTGCACAGCACAAAACTTCCCCATTCACAATCACATACAGTTATATTACTTGTCCCTCAGTTACATAATAGTCTTCTTAAAACAATCTCCCTTTAGAAAATTATTGTATTAGTTAAGCCTATTCATTCTTGCTATGAAGTTAATTTCATTTGTATAGGCCACAAAAGTTTAATTGGCACATTTTAAGTCAAAATAAGTCTTCTTTTTAAAAATTATGGGATCATCTGTTTTCAAAGAATAATCCCAGATACTTAATTCATTAAAGCAATGTTCTACCATCAGCAGTCAAGCTTTTTAAATGATCACTAAGTGTTCACCTGAAGATTATCAATGCTATGTGAACTGTAAACTTCTTTTGAAGATTTGTATTTATGATACAATTTTGTACTGAAGAGCTTTTTAAAAAGATAACCTTCATACATACAGTTAGTTTGCCTCAGAGAACTTAGAAATACAGTATATAAACATTTAAGAACCACAACAGAGTCCACTGTGGTTCAAACTTCAACAAAGATTTCCTTGAAACCTAGTACGAAGGTTACTGGCTCAAGACCATATACCAAAGTGACATCAGCACAAGATTCGATTGTAAGACTCTACCTCTTAAAAAAAAGAGCACACTTGGTTATACATGGCTTTTAACCTTGAGCTACAGTTAGGCTACAAATCCCCCCACCCTCCCAATCTAAAGTTAGTCATGTGGAGATGTGTACATTCTCTGAGCACTGTTTAGAGTCCTTGGTTTTCCAGCTCTGATGGAGATCTCGAAGGCGCTCAGAAGTCCGTGTGCTTACGTTCAGGGCAGGATGAACTTTACAAATGCCACTTTCCTCCATTAGTGACAGGCCACAAATTCCAAAGTATGCATGCAAAGCATCTGAAAATAAGGCAGTTTTATCATAACAGGCATTCTTATTTGTACAAAATATTTTAGCTACTTATCAGCCCATCACTACATTAAAAATAAATTTAGAAAAATACTAAATACAGTTTTTGAAATATTTGCTGTCTCAAACCCCAAATTTTTAAAAACCAGGTGATCAAAATCAGATGATACATTATTCAAGAAAACATCACTAACAAAGGAGAACAGTTCCTAGCTGAAGAAGTGACACTACCAACATCCTCTGTGATTAAAGAACAAAAAGGAAGAGTACCAGTGATATAAAAGACTTCTCACTCTAATGGGTTTTCCCTTTTGCTTACTATAGAATATGGAAACAAGGAGCTTTATATCATAAACAGAAATTTTTTCTTAAAAGTGAAAATAAACCTCAGAATCTAAGTAGCATTAGCCCTCCCCCCTAAGTTTTACTTCTGACAGTTCCTAAACCATATATGATGACAATACTATGTTAAATGAAAGAAGCTTAGGCAAAATAATCCATTCTGGAATGCTGTACCATATTTAATTTCCCTATTTCAGGTAATGTCAGTCATTCTAAAAATATATGACCTGACAATAAAAACAAACTCACACATTCTATTTGGTCATAATAATGTGAGTGTTCATACCATAACAATTCTTCTACAGTGGCCTCACTACTGTTTCCCATCTTTCAGGGGGCAGCGACTTTCTTCCATTAAATGGCCACTGAAATCACAAGACTGTTGCTTGCCTGAGAGCCTTATATGACTTCTGAAAGGGCTCAGAGCTCTGCAGTTATGGGAACGCTACAAAATGCAGATTTTGTAGCAGTCAAAATTTTTTTCTGTTTTTGAGTTCGTCATCATTTATGGTCTCATGAGCTATTAAAGTTCAAAACATCTTTTGTGTCAAAAGAATTAAAGAGAAAGTTTTACTCACAAAAGTATCATTTACTTTTCAAAAAAGGAATGACAGTTGTGCTTACTCAATGTTATTTGTGAAAAAGTTATTTCACCAATGAAGGTCCATGTTAATCCCCTTTTATGTCTTTTTCAGAGAATACTTAGGTTTCTTCTAGCTCATTTTCCTCTAATTTTCAGACCACAAAAAATAAACTTGATTTTTCCTATACTATTATAGTTTTCTTGCAGTTTTTCTAAATTAAAAAGCAACATTAAATTTTATTGTACAGAAATAAGGAAACTTTTCTAGGAAAAGAATGCAACAGAAAATACACTTAGAATAAATAAAATAGGATCTTACACTTTCCAGTAATGTAAGAATTTTTTTTTCTCAAAAGGATGTTTTGTAAAAGCTAATGAAATAGAAGGTAATGTTTCAATCCTCAAAAACAAAAAAAACCCCAATAAAAAACCCTCTTTGTCTGTAGGTGATGACGTATTCAAGCACTTTAGAGTTGAAATATATATTTTCCTCATAATAAAACTTCATTTTTTCCTAAGTTTTTCCTATAAATGTACATAAAATCTGTGTGTCAAATCTGCTACTAGATTGATTTATTAGAACCAAGAATAAGCTAATTTTAAAAACTCTTACTAAAATGATTTTTATAACAGCTCTGGGAACAGATCTTTTCCACATAAATTCAATTTATCATACAAACACTTCCTATGCTCTGTAATGTACAGGATCTGAAGACATTGTAACATATCTATAAAAAATATTACATCCAAGTATTTACTCAAATGTTAAACAACTGATCTCTCTAGAAAAAAGCTCCAATAATTTTCTTTTAAAAAAGCTACTGTAAAAAATCAAAATGTATCTCAACATGTTTATATAACAAATGCTTTTCAAGAGACTGTCATTTCCTTATTCCCATTATTTGTTAAAACAGTACATTATTTTTTAAAATAGTACCATGTACTGATTGAAAACAATGGAATCAATACCAAAAGAACTGTTTTCTTGAGGCACTTTTCAAACATATTTACAGCTATGTGTTATAGATATCAAAATTTAAAAATATTATTTTGCTTTAGAAATTAAAAGCATTGTACATTTTTTAAAAAGAAGCATAGTTTGCATGAAAATACACGTAAATATGGATGTCAGGAAATATTCCTGACATGATTCCATGAGCCCATTATTTGTACTTCAATTCAGGTACATATTCTGACCATAACTGTTCTATGACAAGAGAGGACGTGAAGAGGTTCTAGACTAATAATAAAAACCATGACACTACTGCAATGCTGCAAAAACAATCATTCCTTAAATCTAGTGTCATATATTTATAGCTAATACTTGGTCAATTTGCTTATCAAAAGTGTCAGTGTTCTGACTTATTTTTAACAAAGTCTTGAATTGAGTTTTTTGGAAGCTATAAATAGATTCATTTTGTTGGAGGTGAAACCTAAGGGGGAAGGGCAAGCAGCTTGGAGAACGATGCTAGCGGTGGGAGAGGAGCCAAATCCTGGGAGGGCCTTGTGTGCAGTGCCAGCTGACTCTGAGCGCTAAGAAAGTTTTTCAACAATTGTAACAGACTTAACAGAAGAGTTTAGATTAGAGGTTCTCTTTTGCATCAGAGATCCCTTTGGGAGTCTGAAAAGAGCTTTGGTCCCTTTCCTCTCATTTAAGCAAATGTACATACACACACACAGTGTCACTAGGAGGGGCACTGGACTAGAGGAAGACTGGTAAGACATTTTCAGAATCCTAGGCCTGAACTTGGGCCTAGTGCCACCAAAGTTTTGGGGCAGGGCAGAGCACGGAGATGATGAGCTGTGTTGGCAGGCTAGGCCTGAGGGGTCTGTAGATGGCATCCATGTAGTTACTGACTTTATTATATTAGAGCATGCAGCTTAGACTATGGCCTGTCTAGGTTTGGAAAATAGAATTATCCACATATTTTGAAGAAATGTCATTATTTCTGAAGAACCCTTTTAAAAGTACTTATGAAATACAAGAATCTTTTGTTCTTCACATCTATGCCTTTCCTGAGCTGGGAAAGCATGGAATATTGTATTGTCTGAATCTATTTGGTTCCTGAGTTTTAGAGAGTGAATGGTTTGAGAGTTCATATAGCAAAAGTATTCATCTAAAAAAAATAACCTGAATCTGCCAAAATTCAGAGAATAAGAGTATGGACAGTGAGGGGCACCTGTATTCAGGATTTGAGATTTCTGATTTAATGACTTATGAAAAGAGTAAGAACTAGCTCCCTTTTGGATTTAAGAGTAATTTATTCTGCAGAGCTCAAGTGATAGCTAGTAATCCTAAAGATCTTGGATGAACCAATTCTATTTTGGACAGGGACCATTCAGACCACCTGCCTTACTGCCCGCAACAAGATGAAACACTGCTAAGTGAAATATATGGAAAAAAGGGCAAACTATACCAATACATCTTGATAATCAAATCCTTCCTTTACACCCCAAAGACCCTAAATCTACCATAAACTTAAACAATTTACCTTTTTAAAAACATTATTTAAAGTAAGTTTACAACTGTGCCTATATTTTCTATCATATGCCCTTTCTGACAAAGATGCTTGAAGATCTACTCAAAAAATAAACAAAAGTTGCTCTGGATTTATACAAAAAATAAATTACCTGGATGACTATCTGGCCACTTGGCAAATCCCCCTACGAGGCGATCTTGAGTTGATAAGATATAATTTCTATTTTTCTCGAAGTTAGTATACTGGAAAATTTTCAGAAGCTGAAATGACATGACAAATATAAATTTATTGACATAAAACTTTCATATTGACCTTTGGCTCAATTTTCAGATATATGTAATTTAAATATGCTTTTCTCTAATTAAGTAAGGCTCTCAGAACAAGCCTAGGGGGCTTGAGCATTTAAAATTCTCAACCACATTAACTTTTTTTTATCATCTTATCAAATATACTCTCCTTTTCTTGACCCACTCACTATTTCCTTCTTTTGAACCATACCCAACTGACTTCTCTGCATCACATTTAGCTACATTCAAAACACAACTTCCCAGTATGCTCAACTTCATCAGTTATTTTTAAAAGGGCAATTTAATTAACCTATATTCTAACTCTTATGACAGGCTTTTTTGTTTGTTTGTTTGTTTTGCGGTACGTGGGCCTCTCACTGTTGTGGCCTCTCCCGTTGCGGAGCACAGGTTCCGGACGCGCAGGCTCAGCGGCCATGGCTCATGGGCCCAGCTGCTCCGCGGCATGTGGGATCCTCCCGGACCGGGACACGAACCCGTGTCCCCTGCATCGGCAGGCAGACTCTCAACCACTGCGCCACCAGGGAAGCCCATGACAGGCTTTTGAACTATTAGTTACAAATTGCTGGTAATGAAAACTAAAAATATTTCAAAAAAGAGCAACAAAAATTATTAACCACGTGCTAGAGACAGTTTTGTTTGAGAATAGTAAAAAATTAAAGCTCTTTAATTAGGAAAGATACAAGGTGAGACAAATACAATTTTAGCATAAAAAATTATGTAGCTTAAAGATTTAGGACATGTATTTGTCCTTTCTCTGAAGATCCCATTCAATAGAAAAAAATAAAGGATTGTCAAACTGTGAAGAGAATGGGGTTGGGGAGTGGTGAGCAGTAGATAAGAAAGTTCAAGAAGTGTCACAAAGCAGCTGAAAGTGTGTCAATAAATCAGAGAGCCACGAAAGGTATTAATGATTAATAAAGAAGCATTATTTCTCAAAAAGAGAAACAAACCCAATAATAAGGTTATGGTACAAATAAGAAACCAACTTATTCATTCATTTGGTTTAATTAATAGAATATAAGCAGAGACTCTTTAGACTCCTGATGCTAGAAACATTTTTCATCAAGTGGCACATAAGTCATTACACAGAAAGAAGGAACAATAATCTTAACACTGTACTTGGTTTAGCAATAAAAAGTATTTATACAGACCTAATATGTGATTACTGGTTTTCAAATTTTAAAATCAACCTAAAGGCAAAGCATAAAATATTTGATCATTGTTACTGAACAAAATATGAATGTCACCTAAGCTGATGTTGTAAAAGTAAAGGTAAACTGAAAGGTTTAGAAGGGAGAGGAAGAGAAATGGTTCAGAACTAAAAAAAATATATACCAGTAACAATCTGCTGGAAAAAGGGGAGGCCAAATCTTCATTTTTTATAGTTGGGAATATGTTTTCATAGCTGGGATAATGCCTAAAGGTGTTAAGTCAAGAAATCAGCATATTTAAAGTTATTATTTAAAGTTATCCATAAGAATTAAAAATTTTAAAAAGGTTTAAAAGTAGTTGCCTTTAGAAAGTTGTCAAAGACCACCAAGGTCATATCAAAAAGACTCAAGAAACAACTTGAAGGGGCTCCTACTGGCTAAAGATGGGACAATTTGAGCATTAAAAAGAACAATGTAATGGACTAAAATGGATAAAATATATTAAAATCTATGAGTTCACAGTGATACTCAAAGGTTAAAAAAAAAAAAACCCTAAAACCCAATTATTTTATTGGAAAACTTTAGAGGATGCTAGGGAACCAACTCACTGACTGAATGAACATTATTAAAATTAAGAGAAAGAATCATCTGCCTTTCTCTGTATAACCATACCTTAAGTTAAAGTGAAATTCTTCTTTATAAAAGAATCCTAGTTAATAAATTTAGAGGGAATGATAGAATATCACCATATAGCAACCCCCAATGACATAATGGACCTAAGTAATGATCCTCAACGGCTGCTAAAACCATTCCGTAAGAAGATGATGAAGCTTTTATACATCGGCGACAAACAATCCAAAAGAAAACTAGGAAAGCAATTCCACTCATAACAGCTTCCAAAAGAATTTAAATACTTAGGAATAAACCTATCTAAGCAGGTGAAATATCTGTATGCAAAAAACTACCAAACACTGGTGAAAGATTAAAGATCTAAATAAATGCATAAACATTCCATCATCATGGATAGGAAGACCTGACATTGTTAAGATGTCAACAATACTCAAAGCAATCTACAGATTCAATGTAAACTCTATCAAAATTTCAACAGCCTTTTCCCTAAGAAATGGTAAAGCCAATCCTTAAATTCACATGAAATTGCAAGGGGCCCTGAAGAGCCAAAACAATCTTTAAAAAGAAAAATGTCAAGAACTCATACTTCCTGACGTTGAAATTTATTACAAAGCTACAGTAATTAAAACAGTAAGGACCAATGCAATAGAATGGAGAGCCCAGAAATAAACAGATGATTTTCGACAAAGGTGCCAAGACAATTTAATGGGTAAAGAACTGTCTTTACAACAAATGGCATTGGGAAAGCTGGATGCCCACATGTAAAAGGATGAAGCTGAAGCTCTTGCTTTATACCATATACAAAAATCAACTCAAAGTGGATCAAAGACCTAAGTTCAAGAACTAAAACTATAAAACCGTTGGAATAAAACATCGGGGAAAATCTTCATAACATCGGATTTGGCAATGATTTCATGGAATAACAACCAAAAGCACGGGCAACAAAAGAAAAAATAGATAAATTGGACATTTCTCCAAAGAAGATACACAGGATGGCCAATAAGCACATCAAAAGGTGCTCGATATCACTAATCATTAGGGAAATGCAAATCAAAACCAAAATGAGATGTCACCACATAGCCATTAGGATGGTATTATAAAAAAAAAAAAAAACAGAAAAAACAAGTATTGGTGAGAATGTAGAGAAATTGGAACGCTTATACATTGCTAGTGGGAATGTAAAATGGTGCAGCCACTGTGGAAAATAGTTTGGTGGTTTCTCAAAAAGTTGAACATATAATTACCATGTAATACACCGATTCCACTCCTAGGTAATTATCCAGAAACAGATATTTATTTTACACCAGTGCTCACTGCCACCATATTTACAATAGCCAAAAGGTGAAAACAATCCAAGTGTCCATCAACAGATGAACAGAAAAACAAAATGTGGTATATACATAAAACAGGTATATTTACTCAACCATAAGAAGGAACGAAATTTTGATATATGTGACAAAATGGATGGAGCTTGAGAAATATAAGCCAGACACAGGACACAGTAGATTATATGATTCTACTTATATGATGTACCTAGTATAAGTAAATTCACAGAGACAAAAAGTAGAATAGAGGTTAGCAGGGGCTGGAGGGATGGGAGAATGGGGAGTTACTGTTTAATGAGCACAGTTTATGTTTAGGATGATGAAAATGTTTGGGGTATAGACAGTGGTATTGGTTACACAACACTGTGATTTGTACACTTATAAATAGTTAAACTTTATTACATTACGTATATTTTAACACCATAAAAAAAAAAGTGAACAAAGAAGGCTCATGGGGAACTTTATAATGGATGAATCAGTTTTGACAACTCTGGAGCCCTTTGATCAAAAGGAGAGACAGCCAGAGATTATATTATATGCCTCTTGATGTGATGCAATAGGAAATATATATCATCCTGACTTGATATTTAATGATAAGGAACTATGGCTGATTTCTTAGAAGTGATACTACGGTTCCATTTTTTAAAAAGCTCTTTTTGTTTAGCGATTATACTGAAAAATTTCCAGATAATATAAAAAATGGTATCTGGGATTTGCTTTAAAATATTAGTCAGTGAGGGTGAGGGAAGTGGATAGGTATATGGATGAATGAAGGCTGGCTTTGGGATGACAACTGTTGAGATTGGTTGATGAACATATTAAGGGTTCATTATACACTATTCTCTCTTCTTTTGGGTATGTTTGAAATTTTTCATAATTATAAAAATTAATATGGTGCACCTGAGGAATGGCACTAAAAGTGAGGAGACAGAGGCTATTGCCTTCATTTTAAATTGTTCTATTTTCCCAATTCATTTCAACCACATGTATGAATTTTGTTTAAGAGAAAAAAATTAGGATATTATAGTAAGTCCCCACATACGAACCTTTAAGTTGTGAACATTCAAAGATGCAAACGTGCATTCACATGTCCAATCGCGTAAGTCAGTTCACATGTCTGGCGTACATTGTCACATGCGTGCATCCTCTACAAGTGGTTGTGCTTTTTGTGTACTCTACTGTACAGTACTGTATAGAGTACAGTAGTACAGTATCTTTATTTCAAGCTAGATCTGCAAGAGGACGACTTCATTGAATTCCTTGGTGTGCAACAGGAGAAGTTTACTAATGAAGACCTGATGGAACTGGAGGCCCAGAGAAAGGATGAAGAGAGACAAGAGGAAGAAGTAGCTGAAGAACCGAAGAGATTCATGATGCAGGAAATGGCAAGGGGATTTTCTTTATTTGAGGAGACACTGTTAGTTTTTGAGGCACAGGACCCGAATGTAGAACGGTACACGAAGGTTGCAGCAGCCATTCAGAATGCAATCCAGTGCTAGCGTGTCATCTATGACGAGAAAAAAAGAGCTACTAACCAGACATCTCTGGATCGTTTTTTCAAGAGGGTAGATAGAACTGAATCCAGCAAGGAACCAGAACCTGTGCCATCCACGTCAGGCGTGAGTGAAATTGCAGCTTGCCCTCCGTCTCCTGTTGCTGACGATCCTTTGGCTCTACCATCTCCCAACTCCTCTCCCTCCTCCAGTCAGTAACTCTTCTTGCCTGTTCACTCGATGCCAGCCCCTCTATGCCAGCTGTGGTACTGCACTATAGTACTTTTCAAATACTATACTGTAGGATTAAAAATGTTTTACTTTTTGTGTTTGTTTTTTACATATTATTTGTGTGAAAAGTATTATAAACCTATTACAGTACAGTACTATACAGCCGATTGTGTTAGTTGGGTACCTAGGCTAACTCTGTTAGACTTACAAACAAACTGGACTTACAAATGCACTCTCGGAATGCAACTTGTTCATATGCAGGGGACTTACTGTGTATAGATGATGAACATAGACTTTTGTTAGATTCCTGAACATCAGGCCTAGGTGATATGTTTTAAAGGCAAAAAAGGCGATTTTAAGGTATTGAAAACTTGTGGGTATGCAATGGCTAACAAGCTTATGTATTTAGGTACATCAAAAGGTAGTAGAGATGGAGAAAATGTATGAACATATTAATCAATACATTTCAGAAGGCTGACACAAATAAATTAATACAAAATAGAAAACCTTAGATGGTTTCTAAAGGAATGACCCATGGTTTATCTTTTAAGATTAAATTTTCCCATAAACCCTTTACTGGTATGTTCAGACAGATCTCCCCACTAGACAGACCACCGATCAGTTTCAGGTAAAAGTTTTTTATGACATTACACCTACTTTCTTACATAGGTTCTGGGACACTAGAGCTTTATAAGAATAGAAATTTCTAAGTAGTACAACAGATAATTGAATTCTGTGGAAAAACCATACAGAGACTAGCTTTGCCAGAGCAACAGGAAAAACCTTTTGCCCTAAACCTAACAATATTTAATGAACATTACAAAGACCAAACCCTTTACGCACAGTTTTTTTATTAACAAAGAGTAAAGGTTTCTCATTTTTATTATTTCTCTTACCTTTAGAGTTGCTCCCACCCAAAAAGAATAACAGGTGTCGACAGGCTTATTAGGTCTTCCATGATAACCATTTTGTTGTCTCATTATACACCACCTCTTTATCCTGTTCAATTCTTTTTCTGAAAAAACTTCTTCTAGTTTACCCATCAGGCACAGTGATGCAATGCCACAAAAAGTTGATCCTCCTGTTAATTAAAACCACACAATACTTTAAACTTATTAGATGTCTAGGAAAATAATATGAAATGATTGAAGAAAAAAAGGGTTAAATAACTCTAGAAAATAGTGAAATAAAATTAAAAGACAATTAATTTTACTTTTATTTCACTATTTTATTTACCTTAATTTCACTATTTAAAATAACCACTAAGCACTGGAGTCTTCAATATGAACTTGATGAAATAGAAAAAAATTAAAATAACTTAAGGCCGTAAGAACAATTTTTTAAATGAAAAAAGATTTAGAAAGTAGTTCAAAATTATATGGTTAATGGGAGAGTTGAAACTAAAATCTAGAACTCCTACTCCCTGTCTACTACTCTATCACCTGAGTCTGATTTTAATTCCCTTAAAGACAGTGTATTGATTATGAATTGAGGTTCCATCTGCCTAAAGCTACAGACTGATTTTCACATATAACATAAACTAGAAGTTTATATGTCAGCTTAAGAAATTTAAGGAAGAAAAGTTTTAGCAAAGGGCAAGTGTGTGTGTGTGTGTGTGTGTGTGTGTGTGTGTGTTGGGGATGGGGGTAGTGTGGAGAAGAAAACTGTATCTGGAAGTAGATGCACAATACAGGTCCATGCTCACTATGGTAGACTGACTAATGCCCCCCAGTGATATCCAGGTCCTAATCCCTGAACATGGGCATGCTACCTTATATGGCAAAAAGGACTCTGCAAATGTGATGGAAGTTAAGGATCTTGAGACGGGGAGATTATCCTGGATGGGGTGTACCCTAAGTGTAACCACAAGTGTCCCTATAAAGGGGGGGCAGAGGGAGATTAAACCACAGTCAAAGAGGAGGCATTGTGACTATGGAAGCAGAAACTAAAGTGATGAGACAAGAAGTCAAAGAATGTCAGCAGCCACCAGAAGCTGAAAGAGACAAAGGAACAGATTTTCCCCTGGAGCCTCCAGAAAAAACCTGCTCTGCTGACATCTTGATTTGAAGCCCTGTAAGATGCAGTTCAGACTTCTGGCCTCTGGAACTGTAAGAGAATAAATTTGTGTTGTTTTATACCCCTAAGTTTATTAAAATGTTACAGCTTCAATAGAACCAATATAGTCACAAAGGTAATTACTTTCCTCGGGAAATGAAAAGTCAGTGTTTTTCCATAAAGGAAAAAACAACAACAAAAAAACCCCCACCACTTTCCATTGGCGTTATCTGCTGTCAACTCCAAACAATTTGAAAATACTTATGTTTCCAACTTATTACAACTTGACCTAGTGATTTTTATTAATTCCATATCTTTAAATAGATTGTTCCTAATATGCCTCAACCTGTAACTTTCCTTTTGGTGTTACAAATCTTGGCTGTATTCTCTGGCAAAGGAAAAGTGAGCATTCTCTCTAGAAAATGCAAGGCAGCTATCACATTAAAAGGTTCATTGTCAAAAAATAAAAATAAATAAATAAAAGGGTCACACTGTAAGAACTATTTAGTCTTCAGAATTTTTCCCAATAGAAAAAAAAAGGGAGATCTATGTTAGTCATGAGTGAATTAAAACAAAAGTAAAACAGATTTATCATAACCTTTTAGAATAATTTCTATTCAGCAACTATCAATCTTATTTCCCCTTCAATGACCTACTAGTTTCAATTTCTCTTTCATGAGAAGCTGGCCATGACTTCAGGTATTATTACATCATTAAATATAAAGCCTCTAAGAGAAAGTACATAATCTTTAAAACTATCTACCAAGAAATAAAGACACACTAAATTGTTACTCTCCAAAATAATTGTTCGGATTTTTTAAAGCAAACTGGCACAATTCAAAATAAAAATACTCTTTACTTTGCCCAAATGACCAGATTTTGAAAATGACAATTTCTGAAGTAAGCCTGGTCTCTGAGTAGCCAAACACAGTCATTACAAAGTCTATTCTTTAAGCTAAAATTCACTTATCAACATTTACCCCTGAGAGGTTCCTGTGTAAACAATTTTAGAACACCAGTTCTAAAAACCTGGATTAAAAGTAGGATGTTAGAAGAGTGTTAGAGGCAGACAAAAACAGCAAGAAAAGACAGGTAACATTATGACAATAAGTACAGTAAGAAAAAGCAGGCACAAGACCTCAACTAGAATATCCTTTTGGGGCTAAATAGGATTAGGTCAATGATTCCTACAAGCTTCAAAAATCTTCGAGAATGTTACATCACTATATATATTAAAGTACAATTTAAGAATTCCTTCTCATAATAATGATCTGAATTCATCAAGAAAAGATTAAATTCTGTTCATTATGCCCTGGTTGAAGAAGGTTATGAAAATAACCTTCTGTATCGAAGGCATGTAAGAGTACGAGAATATTAAGGCACATACAAATAAGAGAAAGATTTCCACCTGAAACTGCTGAAAGTTTGCCACCTAAAGTGGAATGCTTCAGTTATGTGGATAATTAATGTACACAGAATACCACTGTCATAAAAAAATCACAGCTGGGAGGGACTGGTTCCCTCTTTACAACCTACCCCAGTTCTTCCAGTTGCAGGGTAAAGGAGATGTTACTGACTCTGGTTCTGTTTGCTATGCTTTACTTATGTTTTAACTTATTGTTCCCGTAAGGTTTTAAAGCTCGTTTTTAAGCATTCTCTTAGTATCTATTTGTATATACCAAATAATTTGAAAGAATCTATGTGCTCTGAAATGTGTAATTTAAGATGGTCAACAAACATACAGCTAAAGTAGAAAGCTAAGTAAACAGGTACACAAATAAGTACATCATTTTACTCTTAAACACCACATGAAAAAGGTAAAGTGAGGGAGATTCAAGGGAGTTGAATGCTTAGACGAAATCAGGCCAAGTAAAGTTTAATACTTCTCTTCTGGATTAAGGAGTAGAGATATTCTAAAAGAATCATGGAATCAAATGAAGATATGTGAACTTTTACATTATGAATCTCAAGGGGAAAAGTAGTTTCAATCCTAGCGAAGTAGGAAAATCTAATTCTTCCAAAACACATGAACATTTTCCCTTAAAACTGTACTATCATAAAAGAATCACTAGGATAAACAGAATCATAACATTTGATAATCATGGCCTAGAAGGGTACAATGTGCCTATTTAGTTCTCGTGACAAATGGACTCCAGGCTAAGCAGGTGTTGGAGAACAGCAGTTGAGTTAAAAAGAAAAAGAAAACAGTGTATTAAGCAGCATTTAGACTGCGGAATTAGGACAAAGAACACATGAAAAAACTTGATTAACATCAAACTGTAGCAGAAGTACACATTCTAAATTCAGCCTTCCCAGCTTTCGGATGCAGAGTGGAATACAGCATAACTAACTCATCGAATATGTACTGGACAACTACAATATTCAAGGGCATATGGAGTATGACATAAATAAGACACGATCAGTTTACAACCTAGCAGAGAAGGTAAACAGAAGTAAATGGTACGAACCAAGTATTACGGGAATATAAGAAAAGGGAGAAATTGCTTAGGGCTAGGGGGGACAAGAAACAATGAAAGATTTTACAAAGAATGTGACAGTGAAACTAAGCATAGAAAGATGGGTAAAATTTGAAGTTTAAGGAAAGGGAAATGAAGAGAAGTAAAAGGGAAGCATTTCAAGTATAGGAAAAAGAACATTAGTAAAGTCCAGGGGTGAGAAGGCATGTAAGAACATTTGGAGAATACATTTTCTCTGCAACCTAGAGCACATGGAAGGGATCTCTCACATTACAAAGCTAGGCTGGCACTGGACCACGGAGAACTACACTAAGAGATTTAAATATGGGCAGAATGGTACTGCTGAACAAGCATAGGGTTTCAAGACACTTACCTGATATGTGAGCCTAGGAGTTAAGTTACTTACCTTCTCTGGGTAAAACGACAATAATCACTGTGGTGGTTTTATACTGTGTTAACTTGGCTAAGCGAGAACTGTTTCCCAGAATCCCCTTCTTTATATGGTCTGAAGCTAGAGAAATCTGTGTGAGATCTCTAAGGTGGAAGTGAAGCAGTAGCCATTGCCCTGGTTGTGGGCACAGAAGGTAAGAGACAAGGGTAGAGGTGCTGTGAGAGTCTAGCTTGCCCTTATTCTCCCATATACTTGGAATCCAAGTTCTTTCTACTTCTTGCTCTAGTGACACCAGGCCCACGAATGGATGTACGAACAACAGCCTTCCAGTTACATTCTGGCAGCTGCATGCACCTGGCTCTCCAGATTCCCCTGCAAGGTCTCACTTGTCCACCTGTGCCAGTGCCTCAGGAGAGCTTGTCAGTGACTCTTTCCTGATCCACCTGCTACCCCTTTCAGGGCCTTACTTCTCCATCTTCTTCCACAACCATGTAAAATCTTACTCCTATAATAAATTCCTAGTCTTTAATATTCATAGTGATTTTGCTTCTGATTGAATCTAACTAATACCAAGAGGTCCACTCTCGGAGGGCTAGTGTGAGGATTAAGTGAGAAAACTGTTAGCTGGCACAGAGCAGCTGCTTAATAAATAAATTCTTTTCCTTTTAAGTCTGTAAAAGGTTATAAACTGGTGACTAATGGAGGACTGGTGTGACTGGCAAGTTAAGAACAACAACAACAAAAAACAGAACAGGAGATTAAACACCCCAAATTCTGGATTTCTGGCTCTCTGAAAAATCAGTAGATCAGAATAGTTCCACATTCCTGAATAGCAAAAACAGACTTGGAAGGAAGGAAAGAGCAGAATGATGGTTTTTAAAAATGTGCAGCTTGAGAGATATAAAGGTAGCTAGCTCTGCCTGGCAGGCACACAGAAAGGCAGTATGCAGCTCAGAAGCAACAGTATAGATTTGGAAACAAAGTGTGGGTGCCATCACCCCAGGGATGATTGACAGGGAACCATCTGTTAGTTCATTTAACTATGTGCCACGTGTTACAAGTGTGGGAGATAAAACAGCGAATAAAATAGGCCAAAACCTCTGATCTCATGAGGCATATATTATGTGGAGACAGACAATAAACAAATAAATAAAATAAAAGTGATATGGAGAAAAATAAAGCCAGAAAGGGGGACAGAGAATGGGGTATGTATCTGTGGTTGGTTTGCAACTCTAAACAGGAGGTGTGTTTGTGGGTGGTTTGCAATTTTAAAAAGGGGGCTTTTCCAAAAATATCATTTGAGCCAATACCTGAAGGATGTGAAGTGAAGCCAGGTGTTTGCTAGGGATGGGAGTGGAGGATTCTATATAGAAGGAATAGCAAGTATAAGAGTCCTGATATTTAGAAAGATGAATGATCCAATGAAAAGAAGGAAGTTGGACTAAGATAAAGAGGTGAGAGGAAGAAACAAAAATTGTGAAGGAGCCAGAAACAACTTGTCAGGAAGAAGGACAAGAGGAATTGATACTTCAAGAAAGAAGGGGAAGAGGCTAACAGCTTCATTTGCTTCAATAAATAGAAGATGAGGAATGAGAAAAAGACACTGGATTTGAAATGTAGACCATTCATGACTTTAAAAGAAATATTTCATTTAAGTTGCTGAATCTTACACAGAAAAATTAAAGAACAAGCCATTTGTGTAGAAGGGCAAATAGTATACCTGGACCACTATTCTAAAAAGATTAATAAAAGGAGAAAAAGGGAGAACACCATGACTTCAGAGTGCCCAATCTGCAAGACTACTTTTTAGAAAGAGGTTTCTCTTGCCAGTGTAGACAGTGATAAGATAGGGAAGGGAGGCTATACCAAAGCCTTCTAGAGTAGTACTTCTCAGCCTATCTAACCTCACAGCACACAAGAACATTAAAACGTCTGACATTTGCAGAACACACAGCGGTGACCTGAGGAGCGAGCTCCTGGTACCTAAACGGGAGCTCTAGACGCCTAGGTCTTGGCTGCTCCAAAGGCTCAGGCAGCAATAGCTTGGCATGCCTATACCCCATTTGCAGCACACCCTGTACTGTGGCACCCTGCGTAGGAAGCCCTCCTCTCGGGCTTTAGACCTTAAATCTACCAAGACAAAAAGAGTGTAAAAGGAAGATGTAAGCTTTTTGGCATGAACCACAGCCCATCAATGATGATCTTGCTGGGTGTGATCCTACTCGAGTCATACTGACTCCAAATCACTACTTGTGTGACTCAGCAAGACTTTTTTTCCATCAGAGAGTATCATGTTTGAGCGGCCCTCTCTGTTTCATATCCCAGAGAACGTAATCCCATTTTCTGGGGAACAACAGTGTTTGTTCCACAGGTCTCCTGCACTGCAAAGTATCTCCTCCGCCTGAGTGCCCATTAACATCCTTTACAATAGTGAGCCCAGACCTCGTCTTCTCAGAAATTCTTATAGATGCCAGATTTCCTCTTTGTGCAACTACAAGTATATCCCTCCTTACCAAGTAGTGATGACCAGTGACATAATTGCTACTGCCACCCCCAATCTCATATAGACATACACAAGAATTATGATGTCCTAATTACAGTATGGCTTCAGAGGAAAATCCAAGACAGTTTTCTATACGCCCCTTAGTGACACGTATGCTCTACAAATACCACCGGAGGAGGGAGTGAAAATGTCAGAGAGGGAAGAGATACCTGATAGGACAGGTCCTAGGGAAAGCACAAGGAATGTGTTTTAAAAAAATGTTTATACATGGTTTACAGTTTACAAACCAGTTTCCCTCGTATCTCTAAAAATAATTTTAAAGAAAGATATAATTATTTCTACTCTGTTGATGAGGAAATCCTCAGAGAGATTAAGTAAGGGGCCTAAGCCACATAGCTAGTGTTAGGGCTGAGACCTGAATATTGATGTGTTCTTTCTACTCTATCGTGCTAGCAGAGGGATGGACACACAGGTGAGCACAAAAACACTGCTGTGATGAAGAGGAAACAAGGATTTCACTCAGAGAGCCTCCCTGATCTGGGCTCTTTTTTTAAAAAAAAAAAAAAAAAAGGAGCAAGGAAGTGCATTTACTTCTACACGATATATTCCACTTGAAAGAGTTCAGGCTATTGATGTTTTGACAAACTAAGTGACTATCGCTCACTCTGGTTCTGCCAAAATTGAGGAAAAGTGTGAAAGGAGAAACTGTATTAATGTATGCAGTGAACATATGCTATGTGGCAAAATGTTTTATCACTATGACTTAGGACAATTATATTAAGGAGGTAAAAAAAATTTTTTCTTCACAAATTCATTGATTCATGTTTAATATTCTGTATCTAGCTTTTTAGTATTACACCAAAGAAGAAAACGTGCTGTTTTCTAACAATATTTTAAATCACCCCAAGATGTTTTCATGCAACTAACAGCTGAAATGATCACCAGAAAGTACTGTTTGAACATTCTGGTCTGAATAATCTCTGAATGGTTACTGACCTAGGAGAGGCTCGAGTTGGCACAGCAGTGTCAACAGAGAGAAGTAGGAAAGAAGACAGTCAGGCTGCACCAAGAGTTGAGACAGACTTCTGAGGTCCTACATGTTGAAGATACCATGATGTTATTTGAAGGAACAAAAGAAACTACATGTCCATTTATTTTAAGATGCCTTACCATGAGATTCAAGTCCAGCTCCCTGTGCCAACCCATTGTCATAGGACTGAAAAAGAAAAATATGTTCAGTTTAACAGGGAAATAATAATAAATAAATAAGTTGTCATTATGCTCATTTTTTGTCTCTTGATCTAATTTTAGTTCTCCTTTATATTTTTCAAAATATGCACTCTTTCCCACAATGAAATAGATCTAGGCATTTTCAAGTACCTGCTCTTGTCTTATTCACCAAGCCAAATCAGTAAATGTATGCACTAGGCATATTCTGAGAATACTGTCCAAAGATGGCACCTACATATTTAATTTCTACCCAATAAGAAGCCCCAACCTTTATTCCTCTCTCACTTTCAAGAATATATGAATTTAAGGAAAATGTAAGGATTTTATACTCCTATAACATTATAAACACAAATCTATTTTGAGGCTCTTAGGTAGCCAATGATAATGGTGCCTGCCTAAATTTGAATCTCCCCACATATCCCACAAAATCAAAACAGGATAAGAACAATACAACTACATAAAACTGAAACCTTGTCAAAGCTAGAAGACATGCTCAAGCTTCAAATTTCCTTTCTACAGAAGAAGAAACATCAAATCCCACACTCCTGACATACTTTTGCAGAGAGCAAGGGCAATCTATGAAAACTTGTGAGGAAGAGAGAGGAGGGGCGCTAATGGCAGGTCTGAGATTACCTAAAATCACTAGCTTAAATCACTAGGAAAAGCCTCAGTGTGAAATACAGGCAATCCTTGCTTTGCACAGTTCCAATATACACAAATTCCAGGTACCCCGGCTTAGTTAAGTAACATAGTATGGTTCAAATTTCAGTAATAACAATATATTAACAGTTAGCAACTGCATAAAGTACAAACTTGCTGCTAGCTCCTCAGTCCACAAACCATTACATACATAATAGATGTGTATCACAATCAGTGACCAATCACGTCACCTTTTTCAAAGTCTGTAGTAATTGGTCACTGCACATGTTTTTCAGTTCACACAGACAGCAATGTATGTGGCTGTGCTGTCTCTTTGTCTTTTAGTGATAAACCCACATGATGTTTTAAAAACAATCAAAAAAGGAGATTGGCTACCAAAGATGAAAGTGCAGTAAAGAAATGAAAAGCAGTTAACACTGAAAGTGAAATTGAGATCAAACAGAGTAATATAAGAAACAGCTATCATGACAGTGCTGGCTGATTGAGACTAGATGTGCAGTCAGAAAAATCAAGTGAAGGCGAAAGAAATATCTACATAAATGAGGAAAGTGGCTCTGATGAAAAAGATGGAGATGTTCTAGAGAAGAGATGCTGGCAAAAACTTCACATAAAAGGAACTCTCAGATATTTCACAATGAAAATGCAAAGGACAGAATGTTGGAAGCTGATACAAACTTAGAAAGGAGTATGATCATTTACCAAGACAGAAAAGATGCCTGCTCCATATTATAAATTATATAATGAGAAGACAAACAGTGCTGTTCAAGCTACTACTGATGAATGTTTTTACACAGAAAACACTTTAATTTTCAATATTGCTAATGTTTTAAATTATGATGTACTAATAAATAAACATTGGTTTTACCATTTAAAAATTCTGTGTACATTTATAACGGTAATAGTTTTTAATGTTTTGGCAAAAAATTATAAAGGTCACAGAACAAGTGTCATTTTTCCCACTGATGATTAAAATCACTGTGCATCATTTCAGCCTGCAAGACCATCATTACAGTCTGGCACTACCAGCCAAAGTGAGGATGCTGTACTGTAGGAGCTCTGGTAACACTGAACAGTGACTACAGAGAAAAGACCGAGGAGAGTGTGCAAGTCAAGGTGGCAGCATTCAATGGGCATAAGTCTGGTGAAGACAGTTAAAAAAGGAAGGGAGAAGGGCCCACTGAAGACCAAATAAATGAAAACTCCAAAGAACAAAATGCAAAAACCCGGGAAACAAAAGAGAACCTTTCTCCTACCAGAAAATCACAGAACTCACAAACCTTCCCCAATCACTAAACAAACAAACAAAAAGACACTCTAAATTAAAGAAATCATACTTTGTTTCTCTGCACTGAAAAGAGGGCACTCTTAAACTAGGAATTCTTGTAAGAAAAAAAATATCCACTAATGACTAAACAGAAAAAGACAAATCTACACAAAGTAACTCTGAGATGAAAACACAACAATCAGAATGAAAACATCCCGGTATAGGAAAATCTGCCTTCACCTCCAAAAAATGGTGATAAAGCAAAGGAAAACTGTAATACAGCACCCCAAACTCAACTGCATATCCTCAAATAAGCATTCGGGAATATGAAAAGAGATTTAACGTTAAAAAATGAAAAGGATAAACAGTAGGAAGAAATAAAAATTAAATGATTTCAGGAAAACACAGTAAGGGATATTTAAGAAAGGCTGAAAACAGCAAAGAGAATAAAAATGAGATAAAGAAGTAAAAAGGGTCAGAGAGAAAGTGGTTGAAATGAAAGATAAGCAAAGAAAGAAAACACACTAAATTGGAATACCTAAAGAAAAAGGAAAAATAATGGACTACAAGTAGGGGTCAGCAAACTGGGGACTACAGATTAAATTTGGCCTGTGGCCTGGTTTTGTACAGTCCTAAAGTTAAGAAAATGGTCAAACTCATTCCTAATAAAATAAATGCAAATTAAAAACACTGAGATACCATTTTTCACCCATCATATTGGTAAAAATAAAAACCGTGTGAAAACACATTCTATTGGTGACACTGTGTGGACACAGGCACTCTCATACACTGGTGGGAATATAAATTGGTTCATACCTTTTGTAGAGAAAATGGGCAATATCTGATAAACTTTATGTATGCATTTACTTTTTTTATACAGCAGGTTCTTATTAGTTATCTATTTTATACACATTGGTGTATATATGTCATTTCCAATCTCCCAATTCACCATACCCCCTGCTTTCCCCCCTTGGTGTCCATACTTTTGTTCTCTACATCTGTGTCCCTATTTCTGCCTTGCAAACTGGTTCATCTCTACCATTTTTCTAGATTCCACATATACGTGTTAATATACACTATTTGTTTTTCTCTTTCTGACTTCACTCTGCATGACAGTCTCTAGGTCCATCCATGTCTCTGCAAATGACCCAATTTCGTTCCTTTTTTTATGGCTGAGTAATATTCCATTGTATGCATGTACCACATCTTCTTTATCCATTCGTCTGTCGATGGGCATTTAGGCTGCTTCCATAACCTGGCTATTGTAAACAGTGCTGCAATGAACACTGGGATGCATGTGTCTTTTTGAATTATAGCTATCTCTGGGTATATGCCCAGCAGTGGGATTGCTGGGTCATATGGTAATTCTTTTTTTTTCCTTTATGTTTATTTTTTCATTTTGAAAAAAGCATAACATATGCTTTTTAAAAATTATTAAAATAAAACCCTAGAAAAGCATAACATTTTTTAAAATTTATTTTATCAAAGGTATATACATTCATCATTTAGAAAGTTAAATGGTACTGAAAAATTTATAACAAAAATTTATAACAAAACAGTGATTCCCTGCATCATTCCTCACACTCCTCCAGTACCCTTTTCCAGAGGCAACCACTTTTCAGTATTTGGCCATTTCTTCTGGAGTATACATCTTGGTGCTTCCAAATAATATGCCTAGATCATACTGTTTTAAATTGTGACTTTTAGACATATTCTATCATTTATTATGGTAGATAAGCATCCAACTCTCTTACACCCCATTCCCCTCTGTTCCTGTGCCCCATGCTCCGAGGATACTACACTTTGCTTAAATCAACTTCTGTGATTATGTAACCTGTCTACGAAAATACAATTCACAGTTGAGCATTGTGGACTATGGTTGTTTATTTTCTTATTTTTCCTGAAATTAACTGTTACCTTTTCCCCCATTTGTGTGTTTTACTTTGTACTGACCGTCTAATAGGCACAGCTTCTGATAGACACAGTCAACCACCATTAGACACCTACCAATGTCTGTCTTTGTCTTGAACAGAGCCCCCCACTCCTCCATCCTTGTCCTATCTGGGTTGAGTGCTCTCCACACTGTTGCAGAGCTGTCATCTGGGGACTTCCCTTCACTATCAACCTTGGAACTTCCTATGTTTTTCACCTGAGTTGGATTTCTTATCTCTTCCTCTTTCTTGGTTTACTCTTTTGTTTTGGTGGAGAACATCCTCTAAGAGTCAAGGCAAAGAAGGATCTTTCCTTTGTTCCAGTGTTATGAAATTTCACAGTAATGTTCCTGGGTTTGAGCCTATTTTCATCCATTATAATGGGCCCTCAGTGGTCCTTTCAGGATATCTGGAAACTCAGATCTTTCCCTTCTGAGAAATCTTCTTGAACTTTTTTTTAACATCTTTATTGGAGTATAACTGCTTTACAATGTTGTTAGTTTCCGCTGTATAACAAAGTGAATCAGCTATACGTATACATATATCACCATATCCCCTCCCTCTAGAGTCTCCGTCCCACCCCTCTAGGTGGTCACAAAGCACTGACCTGCTCTCGCTGTGCTATGCAGCTGCTTCCCACTAGCTATTTTACATTTGGTAGCATATATATGTCAATGCTACTCTCTCATGTCGCTCCAGCTTTCCCATCCCCCTACCCGTGTCCTCAGCTCCATTCTCTATATCTGCATCTTTATTCCTGTCCTGCCCCTAGGTTCATAAGAAACATTTTTTTTTTTAGATTCCATATATATGTGTTAGCATACGGTAGTTGTTTTTCTCTTTCTGACTTACTTCACTCTATGACAGACTCTAGGTCCATCTACCTCACTACAAACAACTCAATTTCATTTCCTTTTATGGCTGAGTAATATTCCATTGTATATATGTGCCACATCTGCTTCATCCATTCATCGGCCGATGGACACTTAGGTTGCTTCCATGTCCTGGCTATTGTAAATAGTGCTGCAATGAACATTGGGGTACATGTCTCTTTTTGAATTATGGTTTTCTCAGGGTATATGCCCAGTAGTGGGACTGCTGGATCATATGGTAGTTCTATTTTTAGTTTTC